GTGTAAACATGGTTTTACGAGTGTCATTGTACGTTGTCCTCGGTCTCGCTGTGGTCGGCTTCGAGGTTGTTCATTCGCAATCTGCAGGTAATTACTTGTACCGCTTAGTCGTCCACCTCGAGCGTAATTAGTTATTGTTTGCACTCAGGCGATGCATGTGTATTGAACAAAGGCGGGAATGGCGTTTGTAAGAAGATAATTGAATGTCCTTCGGCAATTGATGCTTTGAAACAAAATCAATTGCCGCAAACCTGTGGGTTTATTGGGACCACACCGGTGGTTTGTTGTGAAGGGGGAATGGGATCGAGAACAGGAAGTGTTCCTGGAGAAATAAGTCGAGAAAGTATGTTGGATTATTTTAATATTTTTGAATTTTTATTGATTGAGTTTATGTTTTTAGAATGTGAAGAGTATTCAAAATTTGCGTATACGTATTTTACACCGCCTGTTTTGTCATTTGGTGCACCCCGAAATGCATCGCGTCTTCAATGTCCGTTTAAAGTAATTCCGCTTATTATTGGAGGCACAAAAGCAAAAGCAAAAGAATTTCCACACAGTGTAAGTTTAAATAATTAAACTGTAAGTAATAACACAATAAATATTAATATTTATTTTATCATTTAGGCTGCAATTGGCTATGACTCAACCGATGGTACTTCCCGAGTATATCACTGCGGGGGTTCTTTAATCAGTGATGAATTTGTTTTATCCGCTGGACATTGTAAAAACAGTCGGTCTAAGTAAGTTTTACTTAATTTCTATCCTCTGTATATTCTCTATTTTATAAATTTATAGTGGACTGGCAAAATATGTGCGTCTTGGTGATTTAAATTTAATTTCTACAAGTGATGATGCTAAACCACAAGAATACAACATAAAAGAATTCATTGATCATCCTGATTATCGCCCTCCATCAACATACAACGACATATTACTGATTAAACTGGAAGAAAAAGTTAAATTTAATCACTACGTCCGCCCGATTTGCTTATACACTGAATTTCAACCGCCTACGAAATCCGCCATTGCTTCCGGTTGGGGAAAAACAGAAGACGCTGATGGTAGCGATGATTTACTCAAAGTCACATTGGAGTTCTTTAGCCAAAACGAATGTTTTAAATATTTTCCTGCAAACAG